TTGCGCTGGAGTTCCGGACTCTAGCGGCAGATGCAGGGTGGAATGAGCGGGCCCTCATAGACCACTTTAGATGCAGCCTTCGGGAGGACGTCCGCAGAGAGTTAGCGTGCAGGGATACTACACTATCATTTGACCAGTTGGTGGACATGGCCATTCGGCTGGACACCCTGCTCGCGACCCGCGGACGTCCCAGGTGGGGGTCGCCCATTCCACCCTCCAGCGCCTCCGAGCCGAGCCCGATGGAGCTCGGAGGTGCTGGCGCTAGAGGGGGGAGAAGAAGGAGCCCGAGGGGGGCTGTCTCCTGCACCAACTGTGGCCGCGGAGGGCACACCGCGGCTAGGTGCTGGGGAGGGTCTCCTGGTGAGGGAGATGGCAGGTCACACATTGGGGAGTCCTCCCAGGTGAGTAGGCGCCCTACTTACCCAGAGCTTTCTGTCGTACACATAACTATACCTGTTTGTTTCCCACAGGTTGCACCTCGTTCCCAGCATAAGGCGCTAGTCGATTCAGGCGCAGCTGGGAATTTTGTAGATCGTAAATTCTGTGTTGAGTTAGGGATTCCCCTCCTTCCGGTCGATAAGCCTTTCCCTGTACATGCCCTAGATAGTCGTCCGTTAGGATCTGGGTTGATTAGGGAGGTCACGGCGCCACTTAGGATGAAGACGCAGGGGGGTCATGAGGAGACGATTCAACTCTATCTGATCGACTCTCCTGCGTATCCGGTGGTACTGGGGCTTCCCTGGTTGATTACCCATGATCCTACGATTTCGTGGCGAGAGAAGGCTCTTAAAGGGTGGTCTGCTCAGTGTGAGGGGCTATGTCTGGGTGTTTCCGTAGGGGCGACCTCGGTGGAGAGTCCGAACCAGATGCCAGCACTGCACATTCCGCCTGAGTATGAGGATTTGGCACTCATGTTTAGTAAGACAAGAGCGGCACGGTTGCCGCCTCATAGACAGGGGGATTGTGCGATAGACCTCCAGGCAGGAGCTGCGCTCCCGCGGAGCCATGTGTATCCTTTGTCACAGGAGGAGAAAGGGGCAATGGAGACATACATTGCCGAGTCTCTGAGACAGGGATACATACGGCCCTCCACTTCTCCCGCGTCCTCGAGCTTCTTTTTTGTGAAGAAAAATGATGGAGGTTTGCGTCCGTGTATTGATTACCGCGGTCTCAATCAGGTGACTGTGAAATATAGTTATCCACTCCCGCTGATTGCGACCATGACGGAGTCCTTACACGGGGTCCGGTTCTTCACAAAATTGGACCTCAGGAGCGCATATAACTTGGTGCGCATTAGGGAGGGCGATGAGTGGAAGACAGCATTTAGTACTACCTCCGGCCATTACGAGTATCTCGTCATGCCATATGGTTTAATGAATGCTCCATCAGTCTTCCAATCTTTTGTAGATGAGATTTTCCGGGACATGCAGGCGCAGGGAGTAGTGGTGTACATAGATGATATTCTAGTGTACAGTTCTACTCGGGCCGAGCATGTAGCCCTGGTGCGCAGGGTATTGAGGAGACTGTTGGAGCATGACCTGTATGTCAAAGCCGATAAATGTCTGTTCTTTCAGGAGTCAGTCTCCTTTTTGGGTTACCAGTTGTCTGCGTCAGGGGTGAGAATAGAGGTTGACCGTGTGTCTGCCGTGCGTAATTGGCAAACCCCAACTACGGTTAAAGAGGTGCAGCGGTTCTTGGGTTTTGCGAATTACTACCGGAGGTTTATCCGGGGTTTTGGACAGGTGGCAGCTCCCATAACGTCTCTTCTGAAGGGGGGTCCTGTGCGCTTGCGGTGGTCGGCTGAGGCGGACAGGGCTTTTGGGAGACTGAAGGACCTGTTTACCTCGGCTCCAGTGCTGGCGCACCCGGATCCCACTTTACCCTTCCAAGTAGAGGTAGACGCGTCTGAGGCCGGTATCGGGGCAGTTCTTTCACAACGGTCCGGCACACCACCTAAACTCCGCCCCTGTGCTTTTTATTCTAAAAAGCTCAGTCCGGTGGAACGGAATTATGACGTAGGGGACAGGGAGCTGTTAGCCGTAGTACAGGCCCTAAAGGTGTGGAGGCATTGGCTTGAGGGGGCTCAACACCCTTTCCTCATTCTGACCGACCACCGTAACCTGGAATACATTCGGGCAGCTAGGAGACTGAATCCTCGCCAGGCTCGATGGACTATGTTTCTCGCCCGGTTTGTGTTCAAGATCACTTACATCCCTGGGTCCCAGAACGGGAAGGCAGATGCCCTGTCTCGGCGGTATGACACGGAGGAGAGGTGCGTGCAGCCCACTCCCATACTACCGGAGTCTTGTCTGGTTGCACCGGTGGTATGGGAGGTCGATGCGGAGATCGAGCGGGCATTACGCACCGACCCTAGCCCTCCACAGTGTCCGGTGGGTCGGACGTACGTCCCGCTCGAGGTCCGGGATCGGCTGATTTATTGGGCTCACACGTCACCCTCCTCTGGACATCCAGGTATTGGCCGGACAGTGCACTGCCTTAGTACAAAGTACTGGTGGCCAACGTTAGCCAGGGATGTGAGGATTTATGTCTCCTCCTGCTCAGTGTGTGCCCAGTGTAAGGCGCCCAGACACTTTCCCAGGGGTAAATTACAACCCCTGCCCGTTCCACAACGACCCTGGTCTCACCTCTCTGTGGATTTTGTTACCGACCTTCCCTCCTCACAAGGGAATACCACCATCCTGGTCGTTGTGGATCGGTTCTCGAAGGCCTGTCGTCTCCTTCCCATGCCGGGTCTTCCTACTGCCCTACAGACCGCTGAGGCTCTATTTACTCACGTCTTCCGGCATTACGGGGTACCCGAGGATATAGTGTCTGATCGAGGCCCCCAGTTTACCTCCAGAGTCTGGAGAGCCTTTATGGAACGGTTGGGGGTCTCGGTGAGCCTTACCTCGGGTTACCACCCGGAGAGTAATGGGCAGGTCGAACGAGTCAACCAGGATGTGGGTAGGTTTCTGAGGTCATATTGTCAGGGCCGGCCGGAGGAGTGGGCGAGATATGTGCCCTGGGCCGAGATGGCACAGAACTCTCTCCGCCACTCCTCCATTAGACTAACCCCTTTCCAGTGTGTGTTAGGGTACCAGCCGGTTCTGGCACCTTGGCATGAGAGCCAGATCGAGGCCCCTGCTGTGGATGAGTGGGTGCGGCGCTCGGAGGAGACGTGGAACGCTGCACACGTCCATCTGCAGCGAGCCATCCGTCGACAGAAGACGAGCGCCGACCTACACCGCAGTGAGGGGCCAGTGTACGCACCTGGAGATCGAGTCTGGCTCTCAACCAGAAACCTGCCCCTCCGCCTGCCCTGCCGGAAGCTGGGTCGGCGGTTTGTGGGGCCTTTTAAAGTCCTGAGGAGATTGAATGAGGTGTGTTACAGGTTACAACTGCCCATTGATTACAAGAATATTAACCCCTCGTTCCATGTGTCTCTCCTCAGGCCGGTGGTAGCTGGTCCACTCCAGGACTTTGAGATAGAAGAGACTCCTCCGCCCCCGTTGGACATCGAGGGGGCTCCGGCGTACACTGTTCGGACCATCCTAGATTCGAGACGCCGGATGGGGGGTCTCCAATATCTCGTGGAGTGGGAGGGGTACGGTCCGGAGGAGCGGTGCTGGGTGCCGAGGAGGGACATTCTGGACCCGTCCCTGCTGACCGAATTCCATCGTGGTCATCCTACGCGCCCTGCTCCGCGTCCTCCTGGTCGTCCCCGAGGCCGGGGGCGGCGCACGGCTGGGGCCGCGCGTCAAGGGGAGGGTACTGTCACGGTTTCGGCCGAGGCGGCCCCTCCTCCTTGTTCGGGCAGGTTTCGGCGGTCGTCGTCTCCGGAGTACTAGCTGCCACCGTTCTATGTTTCTTGTTTGATTGGTTTTGTCTGTTTGTCACACCTGTTTTGTGTTATGTCTCATTAAGCACCCTATTTAGTTCCTTGTTGTGAGTTTAGGTGTTGTGTGTAATTGTTCCCGTTGTCGTGTTGTTGCGTTACCCGTTTCGGTGCGCTAGTTGTAGCTTACCTCCTTATTTGTTAAGAAGAGAATTACGCACATGTTTAGTGCGCCCGTGTGTGTACGCCTGTGTGCGCTTTTCTCGCCTCCGGGCTGTTTTTTGGACTATATTTTGTGTGAACTACTAAAGTCTTTGTTGGACTTAATTTCTGCGTCCTGCGCCTGATTCCACACCACACCTACCTACAGCAACACTTGACAATCTCTCCTTTGAGACTTTCCAAAGATGCCTTACATCAACAGATGAGTTTGCTCATGGATAATTCCAGCTGTGTACAATCATTTCAAGTACTGACACAAACATCCAGACAAAAACATCCAGTAAGAAACTAACTTTCTGTAGACAATACAGTCAGAGAGGGTTGAATGACTCTGCAAAATGGGTTTGTGATAGTTCACATGTTTAGATTGGGAGTACAAGCACATCTTTTTTGTGCTGACATTAACATGAGAAGGGGGTGGGGTGTCAAAAGGTCATCCACTTTTAGAGGAAGAGAGAGATTACGTGAAATTATGAAATTTGTTGTATGGACCAAATTCTGAAGTGAAGTCTGATTGGTGTAAAAGTGTTACCACAAGCACGTAGTATAACTGTGAGTCAGGCTGACCAAACCCATCAGGTTTATAAGCATGGCCTACTCTGAGTATTTCAATATCCTAATCCCATGTTCACGAACGCTATTACTTGCCTCTGGTTTATTGATGAAAAATAATTTCTGATCTGAGCAACATAACAAGTGAGTAAATCTGTTTCTTTTTGTACAAACTGAGGATAATATCTCATGGAAATGTAGATGTCAACAGAAATATATAGTATTTAATTTTGAAATAGTGTTGTGAAATAAATGTACTTTTCCAGTCTTTTCACAGCTCACTACTATCAAAGTCAATTAATTATCTCAGTATGTTCTCACTTTTTCTCTAAAATGGTATTCATGAATGAAATTTGACCAATTTTTTCCACAGAGATAATAACCAGTGGCAATGGGGGACTGGTCATATCTTTCCAAGTTACTGGACAAGGTGCAGTCCCACTCAACGGCAATCGGAAAGATATGGATGAGCGTCCTGTTTATCTTCAGGATCCTGGTTCTGGGTGCAGCAGCAGACAGTGTGTGGGGAGACGAACAGTCTGATTTCTACTGCAACAACAAAGAACCTGGGTGTGAGAATGTGTGCTATGACTGGGCCTTCCCCATCTCACACATCCGTTTCTGGGTCATGCAGATCATCTTCGTCTCCACCCCAACTCTTCTATATCTAGGCCATGCCATGCATGTCATCCACCGGGAGGATAAGATGAGGGAGGCACTGCAGAGCCAGGTTGACAATGGCATGTTGAAGAGGCCCAAATACACAGATGACCGGGGGAAAATCAAAATCAAGGGAATTCTGCTGCGTAGCTACATGACCCAGTTGTTCTTTAAGATAGTGTTAGAGCTCGCTTTTATTGTGGGACAGTACTACTTATATGGGTTTGTCATGAAATCCATGTTCCTCTGTCAACAACAGCCCTGCTCCAGACTGGGTGCTGAGTGCTTCATGTCCCGTCCCACAGAGAAGACCATCTTCATCATCTTCATGCTGGTGGTGGGCTGCGTGTCTCTGTTGCTCAATGTGATCGAGGTGTTTTATTTGATTTGCATCAGAGTAAAACGTGGAACCAAGAAGCAATACCCACTGCATATAATCTCAGCTGAGAACCCAGTCACGCCATACAGTCCAGCATCAGAATGGCAAAGTAACCTGGATGGACATAAAGATTGCTCATCCCTTCACAACATCCAAAGAGAAGCTGAACTAATGGAGGAAAATAAAAACACTCCTTAGGTTTTCAATAGACTTCACTTGATGATATTCTGACCTGTGAATTTATGTAATCACATGCAATTAGTTGGCTACACTTCCAGTAAATTAGAGGAAAACAAATCATTACAGAGTGTATTGAGTTTTTGTTTGTCAAATAGATTACCTTGTTACTGAATGTTGTTCATATTACAGTTTGTTTCTATGCTGACACTGTGATGACTAATGTTTTGTAGGATATGCATATCTCTGTAAAAAAAAAACGTGAACGGAAACGTGAGATATAACTCACGGCCGCACATTCCCAGGGCATACACTAGATGGCAGCATAAACTTGGTGATTGAAATCACATTTTACCAGTGATCAGACTTTACATTTACATTTTAGTCATTTAGCAGACGCTCTTACCAGAGAATCTTACAGTTAGTGAGTGCATACATTTTCATACTGGCCCCTCGTGGGAATCGAACCCACAATCCTGGCATTGCAAGTGCCATGCTCTACCAACTGAGTTACACGGGACCAGAATAGGCTATAGTCTTATCTAAAGGTCTAGCTCTATGTTTATAAACACATGCAACACAAGTTACCTTTCATGTCAAAGTTCCATATTATTAGTGCAACATAAAATCGTTATGCGTCTTGATTCATTAATCTCATCATGATTAATGTTTGACACTTTTAGTCTGTCATTGCAGCTAACAAGAAAAGGTGATTGTCAAACATGTTTAGCAACTATCTTTGGGCTTTGATCTACATACAATGGATATCATTTTAATCAATTAAAACATACTCCTCAAATAGGCTACTGGTTTACAGATTGGCGCACAGGACCTATCAACGGAACGCTCTAGCATATCATATGCTGTAGACTTGGTCTCGGTGAAGCTATTAATTCATAGTGATCTGAAAAAGTTGCTGTTAATCTTGTTATTTAAAGAAAAGAAAATGTTCTATGACACAATTACATTTAAGTTAAAAAAAAGTACAGAAACCGAGCGTAAGGAGGTCTAAGGCTTGACGTACCGGTCAGGTGACTCCAAGCTTTTCTCTCCTTCGCTTCTTTTTTTCTCTCCTCCTAGCCTGTATGTGGACTGTTATAAGGCAAGGAAAGTTTGAAAAGTTCGTCTCAGTTTCTCTCTGGTCCCAAACTTGGATTTCAAGAAAGTGGTGACTGTTTTCAAGAAGTGACGGGGAAAGTCCCTAAGGGCTCTCTTCTTACTTCTCAGTAACTTTCCAGGTGAGCTTTGCGTTAAATTCAAGTGCCATTATTGATGTGAAGAAGTATTTGTGTATATATATATATATATATATATTTGCATATATATATTTGCAGAGAAACTAAATTGCTCAGAATCCAGACGCACTGTGCCAATACAGACACATTGCATTTCTATAGGCTATCTATCCGCTATAGTATGGTCCATAATATATACTTTAAAAAACGTTTTTAACAAGGAAAAGTTTAAATGATCCTCCAAGAGAGATTGAGCCATTGATTCATCTGTTTCTTTTGTTGTTTTCCTTTTATAATTTGGTGTGACCATTGCTTATGAGTAACCTGTGGCAAATGACTCTAAAAGCAGCATGTGATGTGAATGATTACAAGCTTATAGATAATTGTAACTGAACTGCTTATAAGCCGTAGACTGGAGATTGATTTGTTTTCTAAATGTAATCCTAACCAAGCATATTGACATGTTTTTTTATATTTATATTTTCCATATATTACATCTTAATGGAATATGATCGAATTGGGATCAGATTTGTGAAGTCCTTCCTTGCATCTGGGAAGCGCAGTTTAAAATCCTCTTCCACTGTAAGGAAATCTTGAGGTTGAACTGATGTACTTATTACAATCTTATAAATTGTGATATTCGCTCAACGTGTCATTTAATTGCTCTAATAACATCATTACAAGATCAGAGATCTCAAGCTTTAGTGGGTTTCTTACTCTAGATCAGCATTGTCCACATGGATGTTTTCTTCTTCTTCTTCAAGTCACAAAATGGTTCTGTTATATTAAATTGGCCTATAAATGACCCAGTGAAATTGATTTTAAACAAATCTTGAATTACAAATTATTTATTTGAAAAGGCTTTTATCATGGTACCATCATTGTTGAGTAAGAAGCAGTACTTAGATTGATGTGTGTTATTTTTCACTTTACTGTAGTCCTTTGAGAAGTGGGGCCACAAGTGAGAATAATTTAGATGTTTGGCAGGATTTTCCTGTGTGCTAAACATCAAAATTGTCATTCCTCATTCATTCACATATGGACTGTTTTCTACACAAAGTTAAACCTGCATGTGAAAGGTTGTTTGTGATGTGAAGTTGAAAACTCCAGTACAGTATGTCTACAGTATATGCAGTACATTATTAGCTAATTGAAGACACATGCTTTTGGTACACCCTCCTAGCAGATGGCTTCTACTTATCCATGTTTGTTCATTGTGCAGTCATTGTGCAGTACTGGCGTTGTTCAGAATTTTTATTAAAACGTTATTTGTGTTTACAAACTTGAATCTCATATGACATGCAGTGTGAGTTTAGTATCTGTGAGAGTTAGGTCTCTGTAGTAGAGCTAGGCAGGTCACTAATAAGCGCACAATGAACGGGGCCCTGTGCTGTAGTCTCAGAGCCCAGATGGACTGTCTGAGTGCGCTCCAGACACTCTTGGATCCTCACAGAGCTATTGGCCCAAGCAGGAGAGCCATTGGTCCCCAATCTGAGGCTTGCTCTGAGAGCAGAGAGCTATTAGGCCTTAGTGCAGACCACTAACTGCATAGGCTGTATAGGTAAAGTTTGTACTTGGATGTGGACGTTGGTTAAATTCAATCTCCAGCTTTTAGGACCGATATTTACTGAGGATGATACTTAATGAGAATAAAAATGATATGTCCAGGATAATCAGAATGCAAATAGATCTTGCATAATGAAGATCTTATAGTTATTTTCACAGCTGACTAGTAAATTAATGCATTTTGTGATGAACAGTGACTTTGTCTGAATCTGTGTGACATTTCTTTGAGACTTGGGTGTATTTGCATAACAATCCTTAGATTACACTGTATAACATAAATTAACATTGAGAAATGCTCACACACACGCTACTTGACATCTTTTAACAACTCGAATAAACATGAAACCATGTAGAAATAAGGCATGCGGACCAAATTAACAAACAATGGCTTGATGAGAAACAGGTCACATTTTTATAGCCTGCCGATGAAGGGGAAACAAATGTTTGTGCTTGTGTTTCACAAACCTGGGCTCTATCATCTACCATTATACTATTCACTTACTCAGTATTTTAAGAAGTACCATCAACACTGGTAGGACCACACAATGTGATTTTCCTCTCATCACTTCCAATAGGAAGACAATAGCCATCAAATTTACTCTCTGTATTGAAGATTCATTAAGCATAACGTAAGGGATTGACATCTTGTGGTCAATAAGACATTGTTCTTGTCCATCCAGAAATTTGATTTGTTCTGTTCGTCACTCCAGCCATGAAAGAGCCATCACAAGACTTGTAGTCTTTACACTTTTTCATAGAACGTTGAGATGTGTTTGATTAGAATCACAAATGTTACTTGAGATAGTGATATATAAGCATGTTTATAGGAATGTTTTTTATTTATTGCATTCAATTATTTTCTGTCTAATTGCAGCTAAAACTCCTTCATCATGGGTGACTGGAGTGCTTTGGGGAGGCTCCTGGACAAGGTACAGGCTTACTCCACGGCTGGAGGGAAGGTGTGGCTCTCTGTCCTCTTCATCTTCAGGATCCTGGTGCTGGGGACGGCTGTGGAGTCTGCCTGGGGGGACGAGCAGTCCGCCTTCAAGTGCAACACCCAGCAACCTGGTTGTGAGAACGTGTGTTATGACAAATCTTTTCCTATATCACATGTACGGTTCTGGGTGCTACAGATTATCTTTGTCTCGACGCCGACTCTTCTGTACCTTGCCCATGTGTTCTACCTGTTGCGAATAGAGCAGAAGATTAACCGCAAAGAGGAAGGGCTGAAAAACATCCAGAACGATGGAGGCGATGTGGACGTACCTCTGAAGAAGATTGAGTTAAAAAAGCTCAAGCATGGGCTGGAAGAGCATGGGAAGGTTAAGATGAAGGGAGCCCTCTTGAGAACCTACATATTCAGCATTTTCTTCAAGTCCATTTTTGAGGTGGGCTTCCTGGTCATACAGTGGTACATTTACGGCTTCAGCTTGGCTGCTGTCTACACCTGTGAGAGGTCCCCCTGCCCCCACAGAGTCGACTGTTTCCTCTCCCGACCTACTGAGAAAACTGTCTTCATCATCTTCATGCTGGTGGTCTCTCTGGTCTCCCTGCTTCTGAACGTCATTGAGCTCTTCTACGTGATGTTCAAGAGGATCAAGGACCGTGTGAAGGGGAAACAACCGCCCGTCCACTACCCTGGCACTGGGACGTTAAGCCCCACTCCCAAGGATCTGTCCACCACTAAGTATGCCTACTATAACGGCTGTTCCTCTCCCACTGCACCGCTGTCCCCCATGTCACCCCCAGGGTACAAGCTGGCCACTGGGGAGAGAACCAACTCCGTTCGCAACTACAACAAGCAAGCCAATGAGCAAAACTGGGCCAAACTATAGCACGGAGCAGAACCGCCTGGGCCAGAATGGCAGCACCATCTCCAACTCCCATGCACAGGCCTTTGACTTTCCTGACGACACCCAGGAGAGTAAGAAACTGACCCCAGGGCACGAGCTGCAGCCGTTGGCCCTGATGGACCCTAGGCCCTGCAGTCGGGCCAGCAGTCACATGAGCAGTCGGCCGAGGCCAGATGATCTAGATGTCTAGCCCCCCAACCCCCCCCCATCCCCCCCCCCCCCCCCCCCCCCCCCACCATTGGTGCCAGAGAACAGAGAGCTCAAGGAAGCATTCTCAAAGTGCTGAAGGGGGCGGGGCATAGCCCATTCACTGTCCTAGAGAATCTAGTCAATAAAGAGACATTCAAATACTTACACTGTTGGAGGTACTATACATGTATTGATGACTTTGAAACTAGTGGAGCTAAGAAGCTTTAAAAAGAAAACAACTAGTAGGCGAAGAACATGTGACCGTGTTCCGATAACTGTGCCCAACAGTCCCTCATTTCACTTTAGAAGAATATGCCTTGGCGATGTGTTTGGTTTAGTTATCATGTTTTTACCTGTAGGTTTCATTATGCAGGATGGCATTTATTGTCATGAATCTTGCCCTGGAGGCAGCTCTGGAAAACACTGCACACTGCTGCTCATGCTCCAGGTGATTTTATTATAACAACGTTTTGACCGTTAGGTCTTCATCAGGCATCCATATCCCAGGTGGGGGTGGAAAAGTGGTCACTAGCTGGCACAGCCACAAAGTCAAACAATCTGATTTTGAACTTCTTACCTTAATCTTAACCACACTGCTAACCCTAATGCCTAACCCTAACCTTAAATTAAGACCAAAAAGCACTTTTTCTTTTCAAGCATTTTTACGATATAGCCAATTTTGACTTTGCAGCTGCTGGCCCATCTAGCGGAAATCGCTCAGTTCTGCCTCCAGGGCAAGATTCATGACAATAAACTTCAACCTGCTTCCACCATTTGGCCACACACAATGACATTCCATTTAGAAAGACTGCACATCAATATAATAGCAATGTGTATTTTTCCATGCCTTGGAAGTAGTTTGAAAAACACTTGGCTTATAAATATCTGTCACACTCATCCTCTGTATGACTTCCAAGTCTGTCTTGTAAAATTGGGTTGTGAAAAGGATGCTCAATTTCATAAATAAATATGTATTTATTAGTATGCAGGACATCCACCACTAGAAAAAGATTGACTACTATCCAAGGTCATGTCCATATAAATGATATATTAAGTCACTACACCCAACTGCATATTTATTGATAATAATCAAAATTTCAGCAGTACAATTTTCTCAACAAATAAGAGGTTGATTTTATTATCTTGGACTGTCATTTCCTGATAAACTTTGAATTTATGTGGTGTCAGTTGATTTATTTTATGTTTGTTGTTTGGGGTTTTGTGGGGAAGAGGTTGTTGTCAGATGGTGGACTCTGTAATAGAAATACAGAGCAACAGTTTTTTATTGCTACATGTGTCTCGGAAGCATCTTTGAAAGAAAGGCTTTATATTTTTCTCATTTTAATGTGTGTGTTTTTTTTAAAATGTTGTTTCCTGTTGGATGGTAGAGGAGGGCAATAGAATGATTATTTGTGTTTTACCTTTTGAGTGAATGATTTTTTTTTCCAAACTCAATGTAATCATTGCTGCTTGAGAGATAGATATTTAGTACTGTAAATCAAGCTAACTGTGTCACAAATGTGAGTTTTTAGAAGACTGCTTATAGAGCCGGACTAATATTTAGTCAAATATATTAAAAGGTATATGCCAATGTAGCTCCACAACTACCAAACACTTGTAAATGGATTTTCAATTGGAAATGTTCATGTTTTCTTTCCGTTTTTCTCTCTCCAATTTCGCAATATATTATTTTGGTACTCAAACAGAGAGTTTCATGGGTTTTTCAGCTACAATGGTGTTTGCACTGAGATCTTGACTAGGGTGTAATATGATTTAAAAAGTGGCAAGTGTTTTCTGATATGCATGTTACTAATTTATTTTACAACACGAGGCAGAAATCACTACAGTACATTCAGACAGTGCTTTTGTTTGACCACTGGTTTCAATGATCTTGAAAGGCTAAAGCGAAGGGCCTCCATACAGAGTACAAGACAAACTTGGGTGTACATTTGTTTGATAACGTGGTCAAATAACGCCATTCCATGGAAATCCACTGTTGTACAGTGTGTAAGTGCATGATAGCAAAAAACCTCATTAATCATATCTGTGAAAAGCTATTTTAACCCAATAAAGATTTTTTCTTTCTTAAGATTGTTTTCTTTCCAAGTCTGTTATCATATGCACCTAATTTTGCCTTTGTCCGTTTTGTTTGTCTAGTCCAGCCTCCTCAATAGGTATCAAACAGATCAATGTTATGGTTAAAATATACATTTGTCATGTTTTGAGACTACAGTAGCTCACACCTTCTTGTTTCATAGGAAACAAACCCTAAACAATGAATCATATATGTTAAAGTCGGATATTGAGAGAATGATAAGAGTTATTCAGTATTATGTACTGAAAATGCCTTGGAGACTTTGAAAATGTCATAATATGAAAAGACTCAGCGCTTTTCTCTTATCCAAGTTTCCTATTTAACCTTTCCACAAAGCTAAATAAAACCACATGTTTGGACCCAGTCTGTAGACCACATGTGGCTGGAGCAGAACGGAAAAAAGCTATACTTTGATCCCAATGCTAATTAATCTAGATTTTTAATTTAACAATGAGTTTTTATCAGGACTTTTAAACAAGATGTCACTGTAAGTACAACGGCCAACACAAAAATGGTTGAAACACACAACATTTCTACGAAAAATATGTATTACATAATGTATTGACATAACAGAAGATATCATAAAAATGAAGAACTGTGCCCAGAGTGTGAAAACTAACAGTACAGCAGTTTACCTAATTAAGATAAAGTTTTCTTCAAATGTGGATTCTCTATGTGAGTGAAGCAAAGACATGACCCCTGATACCATGGAGTACTAAATGTTAGAAATAGTACATTAGCAAAACTGTATCACAGAATTTTCTAATTTAAAATGGTAGTCTTAGTACATTTTAAAGCATTCAGAAGGTGATGGAAAACAAAATGCGATTCTACAACTTCTGGCTCTCTAGTGCAGATGCTAACCACATGAATACTTAATAAATGTCAAATAAAGTCCTGTGACTGTAACTGCACGGTGCAGTGGTCAGGTTAGAGAGTCTGCGTTTTACTGTGTTTGTGCATGTTTATTTTTAGACAATAAGGATTCAAAAGAGGACAGCTTTCATTTCTCCAAAGACTACTGGAAACCTTAATGTCTGAGTTACATTTCCGCTGTCTGTACAACCGCTCAGACCACAAGGCCAGGGCGGGGCTACCAATACATGGTAAAGCTGCTAACCTTAACTAAAAATACTAGATCAACTTTTCATCATGACGTCATCCCAGAGCTAACAGAAACAGATGGTGCCTTGTGTAGACTTCTCATCACACAATAAGCTTTTAAAAGTTATGTATTCCTTTTATCTTGTCAGTGGGGTGGAAAATAGTTTTATTAGGCATCTTTGACAGATTGACCATTCCCTGTCCTCTAAAGGAAAGGCAGCTTGCAAAACTACAGATAAATGAGTAGCACAACACATCAAAAGTGAGTTAAACTATCTACTGTATATGATAGATATATCATTCACCTCTCGCTGCAAAGTGTATTAGGAACTGAATGCTAGACCATTAGCGTCACTAACTTGGACCTAATTGCTGTTTTTTTTAATGCCTTTCAGTTTCCCACCTCTTGTTAGTACAAAGCTGTGGATACGTAAGACAGACTTGACCCTATTTACTTTGTGGTTACCATTACTGGGTCAGCTAACCAACTTTGACAAGCAGTTCTGGCAAAATCACTGCATGGAAATATCCCACCTGGTGCTAGCTGGAAGCGGCCGGGATTATTGATGAAACAGAACATCATATTTCATCCCTTCAAGCAGGTCAGACTCAAATAGAGCATGGAGAGTAAGGATAAACCCAGCCATTCCACATGTGTGTGGGAAAAAATGTGGGAGATCTCATATGATTCAGTGGAAACTATAGTCAGTGTGTGTGCTACCTGTGTATTGTATCCGGATCTTCTTTACTGGGCAGCTCCACAGTGAGTGCGGATATCATGCTCAGTCATGTTTCCTGAGCTGTCTACACGCTCCCAACTGTTTATATAAGCATAAGTAAAGGAAAACAATCGGATACTTCCAATTTTAAATGGCAAGAGTAGCAGATCTCACATGGCGTCTCAGCTTTCTTTGCGGTTACAAATTGAATTCATACCCAATTCATTTTCTTCACATTTTGCCACTGCTGGACGGAGGCCATCAAACTGTGGTTATATTAAACACGGGAAAGCTGCTCCAAGCATTTCAAATGAACACGAGGACTTGCGCTGAGTCAAAGTAAGTTTGTGCTAATGTAGGTTAACTGTTAGTTAGACAAGCACACAACACCATGCCCAATCCATTAGGGATGTGCCCTGGAAGTGTCCATAATAACTGAAGCTTTAGCAGGATGTCTGTGCTGAAATGTGAGGTGCCAGAGCATGGGAGCATATGACCCTAGGGTTTCCTCCCATGGAAAAGGACCCAAAAACACAAGGTATACAGATCTGTATCTGAACTATGTGTTTATATTGGTAAATTGTTTAATGAACTGACATAATAAGAAAAGTTGAATAATTGTTGAAACTTTTAACCAGATTACCAATCACTGAAAGCTAAAAGCATTCTTTGGGGGTTCTTACCCTAGTATCAGCCATAAACATCACTTCATTAAACTTAAAGGCCCAGTGTAGTAAAAAAAAAGAAGTTTTCCTGTGTTTTATGTATTTGTATATATTTTTCCACACTATGAGTTTGGAATAATACTGTGAAATTGTGAAAATGATGATAATGCCCTTTTAGTGTAAGAGCTTTTTAAAATGAGCGTCTGAAATTTCAGCCTCTTTTAGTGGGATGCTTTGGCCTGCTTGGTGACATCACCAGGCGGTAAATTATAGACCAATAATAAAGAGCGTTCCAAACCTCTCTGCCAATAACAGCTAGTTTTCAGTTTTCCCCTCCCCACTCAGACCACTCCTAGCTAAATTCTTGCTTGAGAAATTGCTCTTTGCTAAGAAGATATTTTAGTTTCTTTTGACCATT